TGGTGGTGGTTGTTTTCATTGTGGCGACTGCAGTAGGATTTGAGGTGGAGGCGTTTTGGGCAGTGATCGAACGTACCGCGTTTGTAGTGCACTGGGTTCATAGGTAGCCAGTCGGCGTGCGGGATGTCCGTTGACAACTTGCGAACGATGGATGGGATTATCAGTCCACGACATCTGAAATTTGCAAACCGCTCTTTTGACTGGTAGAATCGATCCTGTTGGCCTCCAATATGCATGCCCCAGTTTTAACGGCGGTGCAAACCGCGGTTCCTCTTGTTTGGGAGCCGTAGACCGCCTTGATAGAGGCGGAGAAATTCTACATGTCATCCCAGTCCGCTTAGCCCTATGTTTCTTTGGCCTTGTGAATTGTGCAAACATCTTGCATCTCCTGTGGTTGTTGTTACAGCAGGCGTCGACAAAAGAAGAAGGGTGTTTTGTTTACGTCGGTCCTGCGGTTGGCCTATGCTGCATGCAGCCTCTTCTCCCCTGAGAGCATATTGCGGACTTCTTTGCTGTTGCCGTCAGACGTTTATTTATGTCCAAGGCGTGGGCGTCCGAGAAATCTGGCGGTGGATTAAATATCGTTCCGTATTTGGCACTATTGCCTCTCCGCGGTCGCATTGTCTTCCGGAGACTGGATTTCTTCTGGGTCACTAGTCAGCTGATTACTGAAATCTAGCGGTGGGCAGACGCATCCAATAGCATTTAACTTACCTGGCGGTAGCCTACCATAAATTCATCTGCAGGCTTGGTTCCCGGCTTCATCTGGAAGATGACAAAGCGGTGATCCGCCCAGCAATCAGCACCGCACCTTATCCACGAGCAAGTCACGTCGGCCACGCCTCTAAATGTGGGCATAGTCCAGTAGCTGCCAGTGATTAGAGCAAGGTTGTTTTCACGTCGCTTTCTCTGACATCGGGAGACGGGAAGTGCTTGTCGTAAAAGTATTGTGCTTAGCTCAGCCCTGCCGTAGGAGGAGGTCATTGCCGCTGCAGCGGCCGGTCCTGTGATTACCCAAATCTCCCTGTCGGACAGTTTTATCTCTGCCCTCCAGGGCACCATGGCCACCAGGGGCAATCTGTTTTTCTGCCCTCGGCTCAATCCCAAGGAGGACGTGCGGATCTTTGTAAAACTTGTTCTTCAAATCATCGCAGCTGGTCGTGGGAGATCTAGGGGCCAACGATTATGACAGTGACAGGCAACGTAATCTTAATGTGAGTGAACTCACACTTCTCAGTAGGACTCCATAGCTGAGGTGGTTAGAGCATTGACTGTACCCAAACCCTGTCCTTGCTGTCTCGAGTTCAAATCTTACAGAGACCATCGATTTGTTTACATATTGGTCAACAAGAGCGTCCGAGGCGCACTATTAATGCAATGTGAACGCTGAGTTAACTGGTAAACTGTATGAAATACTGATGGCCTAGAGTTCTGCACGAGCAGCCAACAGTGGACTGCAATTCGGCTAATGGTTTATATCTAGCGAAAATAGCTTTTGGCGTCCGCCGGAGATTTTTTTACACCAATTCTAAAAAAATATTTACAAATTTTAAATTGGGACTTTATGCGGACCGACTATACATCCTTGTTGATTATTTTCAAGCGGACGAGTCCTAGGCTCCCGCGTGTGTCTCGCACCAGTGCTAACAACGAAAAACAGCTAGCTTTTGAATGATGAAAACGGTTGCTGCCCCCGCCTTCCGAACTACCTTTATACTCTCCTGTCACGATAAAGTTTTCCAACTAACTCTATCATCCCTGCTTTTGATTTGAGAAACCTCGCATAATTATAAAGACAGAAACGTCAAAGTGTGCAGGGGATATCGGGTTGCGGCAGACCTGGTGTGTGATTAGAAATGAGGGCAAAGGCATGACATCATCCCTGCCAGAACAGAGCCCTGAATAGAGTGGGCAACAAGTATAACTGAGGCGGTATCGCACGCGCGCGTCAGGAATTAAGAATTATTTGTCAAAAAGGCCGGTCTGATACCTGCTCGAGGAAGCAGTCCATGGATGTGTTTAAAAACATTCCACAGTAAAACTTTTCAACCATTCCTATTTGGAGACTGCTGGTTTAGTCTGCTTAACCTGGAAAGCACCAGCAGTGGTCAAGAATGGGGGGAAACATATGTTGTCTTGTAGTAGTTTCAGGAAGATAAAAATTATGTGAAATGAAAGATGAAAAGCGGTCGACTTTTGTCGTATCTTTCAAATACTCGAACAATCTAAGTTTCAGTACCAAGTAGAGTCTGCCTCACATGGACAAAACTGACCGTCGCCTCCAAATGTTCGGAACCATGTAGTTGATTCACCACTCAGACGATTGTAATGTCTGCTATCGCGACATCCGACCCGTCGCAAAGCTGGTTCTTATTCTAAGGTCCACAAATCAGCAAACTTCCAAGGAATTCAAAAGCGGTAGCAAACACAAAAAATCAGTTCGGTAAAGTCACGCAAACAGGAACACGCTTGTACAACTGAAAATAATAAAAATGCAGTGTAATAATATTATATAATATATTTTTGCACAAAAACCATTGTATTTTGTGCCAGTTTAGAGGCATTATCAAAGAAAAATAAAGCACGGATCGGGATAACAGGGAGAAAAACTCCTAAGGAGTAAATAGAGAGGATTGTATTTATGGATAGTTTGGATGGTTCAGGAGAAAAAAACTGCTGCCCGTGAAATGACGTCAGTCCAGAAAGGAATGGTTAATACTGCATCGCATATTTTCAGTATCTATTCCTACTAATTAAATTGGGGCTGGATCAAACAGAAGCTCGCTGTAGACTAAAGAAATTGTCCCTAGTGTTGCGGGATGCAGAGTTAGCACCACTTCTCACGGGATGAGACAAGGCAGGAGGAGTAAAGACCACAAAATTCATCAATACGACACACTAAATTGGTGGATTCAGCACCCAAAATATGTAGGGGTTTTTCTCAAAGCAAAAAACGAGCAATATATCCCTTCAACAAAAAATAGTTTTGGAGAATTTTCACATTCCCGTGTACTCTGTTCCAAATTGCAATTGTGACGATACTGTCGTGAGGGGTGGTGGGTTCACTTGACAGGCGAAGTAGGTCTCCCGCTGGCTTGCAGCTGTAGACTACGCCAGGCGTCCACCTGCTGGTACCCAAATCTCACATATGGCTCCCCGAAGCTAGACTCTGCCTAACAGCCACACCCCGGTAACCGCCTTAACCGGCGGGCTGAACCAGGTGAGGGATCCGTGTGTGCATCTCCGTACACGGCACTCTCGGCTCACAGGCTCACCCTGACGAACACCTTCTTCCATCTCCCGATGCGAGAGAAGCCCACCTGGATGCACCCTCAGTCGCGGCGCTAACGCCTGTCGGACTATGTCCTCGTCCTTAGGCGACACCAGCGGGACGTGCTAGTGACAAAGGCGATTCCGGGTGTTGACGGGTGGACTGATCTTCGTCTACTCATCTCCGAGAAGCGCATTCGCCTACGGCCTCGATGGAGACCCCCAGGTAAGTGACCCCCAGGTAAGCTGAATATTGTCTTGTTATCCTTGCCTACTCGCCACCTCCAATTCAGCAACGAGCTAGCTCAGCGGCTAGACAGCCTTCCAGTCGCCACCACCGCCTGCGACAACGAGAACGCCTCCGTTGAGAAACTATGATGTTAACTGAGGTACTCAGTCCAGGTGCAGGCGCTGACCGTCCTCGGTCGCACACGTCGCTAACGCCAAGACTGGTTCAATGATAACGACGCCGTCATCAGCAACCTGCTAACCGAGAAGAACCGCCTGCACGAAATCTACGTCGGCCGCCCCACCGTCGACAAAAATGCAGCCTTCATCCGTGTTCGCTGTCTTTTATAACAACGGCTGCGCGAGATGCAGGACGCCTGAACGGCTAGTAAGGCTGAGGAGATCCAAGGATAGGCGGGCGAAATCAATAGAAGAAATTCTTCTCCACAATCGAAACCGTCTACGGCCGGCCATCCACAGCAACTCTTCCTCTTCTCGGCGCCGACGACAGTACCCTACTCATCGAGAATACATGAACTCTTCAGAATTTAGCCGAGCCCTTCCGAGGGATCCTCAACCGTCCCTCACCATTTCCGACGCCGCCATCGCTCGTTTGCCGCAAGTGGAAACTAGCATCGACCTCAACCTTCGCCCTCTCTCCACGAAACCACCAGGGCCTTGCAGCGGCTCTCCAGCGGAAAGCACCCGGACCGGACGCGGTTCCTGCTGAGATCTACAAGTACGGTGGCCCCCAACCCATGGATCGTCTGATGGCGCTTTTCCAGGAGATGTTGCGTTAGGGAGAAGTCGCCAGGATTTCAAAGACGCCACAGTCGTCCACCTTTACAAGTGGAAATGAAATCGCCAAATCTACGACAACCACCAAGGCATCTCCCTGCCGAATATTATCGGGAAAACGTTTGCTCGCATCCTTCACAACCGCCTGAACAATCATCTGGAACAATGTCTCCTGTCGAAAAGCCAGTGCGGCTTCTGCCGTCATCGAGGAACTACGGACATGATCTTCGCCGCCCTTCAACTGCAGGGAGAGTGTCAGGAGATGCAAACCCACTTGTACTCTACCTTTGTGGATCTGACGAAAGCCTTCGACACGGTGAATCGCGAAAGACTGCGGAAACTCATGCGGAAATTGGGCTGTCCCGAACGACTCACTCAGATGGTGCGTAGGCGTCGCGATGGCATGATAGCGCGCGTCATGGACAATGGAGATGTCTCAGAGGCATTCGCAATGACCAACGGAGTGAAGCAGTGCTGCGTCCGTTCGCCTACCCTCTTAAGACTCATCTGCTTTGCTATGCTGATGAACGCCTACCTTGACGAACGCCCTGGGATCCGCATCGCCTACAGGGCGGACGGCCACCTCCCCAACCACAGGTGGATGCACTTTCATTTGCGTCTATCTACAACCACCGTCCACGAACTTCTGTTTTTCGATGACTGCGCCCTTAATGCAAATACTGATTGAACCATGCAAGGGAACATGGACCTCTTCCCCGCCGCCTGCGACAAATTCGATCCAATCATCAACACGGAGAAGACGATGGTCATACACCAATCGCAGTCCAACACTGCCCATAACGCGCCACAAATTAGTGTGAACGGAAATAAATTGCAAGAGGTGGACAACTTCACTTACCTGGGCAGCATTCTATTCCGCAGCACCAATGTCGACGATGAAGTGTCCCGCTCATTTCCGAGGGCAGTCAAGTCTTCGGTCGTCTTCAAAACACAATTTGGTATCGTCACAGTCTTCAACTCAGCATGAAATTGAAGATGTACAAAGCCGTCATCCCAACGGCGTTGCTGCATGGAGCAGACCTGGACGGTATTGGAGGCAGGCACGTAGACTCAATCATTTCCACCTCATTTGTTTTCGTAAAATACTGAGGCTGATGTGGTAGGACCGGATCCCAGGCATGGACATACTGGAGCGGACGAGGATTTTCAGTATCTAGGCTATGACGAAACAACTACAACTACGTTAGATAGGTCATCTCGTACGGATGAACGACGAGAGGTTACCCAGACGAGTATTATATGGGGATGTCGGGACGTGTTCGTGCCGACAAGGAGGTCAAGCCCGGCGCTATAAGGATACCCTGAAAACCTCCCAGAAGCGCCTGCATATCAACCCGACAAAATGGGAAGACCTCTCCGGATACCGACCTACGTGGGGGATAATGGTGAATAAAAACGCAGCAATCTTCGAAGCCAACCGCATGACTGCTGCCAAAGCCAAACGGGAGACACGCAAATCTCAACTGCCGCCGCCCCACGACGTCAACGCCCAACCGCCTCCAACGTGTCCACGATGTCTCCGGATATTCGGGGCACCATCTGGTCTTGTTGGACACTTTTGGGCCAAACTAAAGCCGATACTGACAACGCTAAATTCTCATTTCTACACAACCTCCGTAAATTCACCTCATGCATCTGCCTGGTCGGTCGGTTGCGATTTCATCGCAAAAAGACTGGCGAACCAATGCCTGGAGCACCAAACTACACTCGCCGTATCCGCCTCCACTTTCCACTATACACCGAAAATTCATGCGCCGCATGACCACATGCGCGTCCACGAAAAACTGAGGTAGACAAAGGCCGGCTGCATCACACCATCACATCCTCTCTCAGAAGCCTCTCACCGCACATCAACATCACCCACCGCAAGCACCCAACTGCCACTTCCCACGCAAGTGGGAAGTGTGCGTCTCGTCCCCGTCTCAATGCGTCTCCTTTGCTGCATAGGTGATCGGAGTCTGAGACGAAGACGGTGGGTTGAGTGGCCTGGCTCGGAAGGCAGCCAACTGACGTTCTAAATCAGTCCACGCAGTCTGCCCAGTTGTGTGTGTTGTGTGGAGTGACGGACTGGTGGGCTGAGAGCCAGGTTGTCACGGCCCCTTCTCGAGCGATCTGTGGCACTCTCATGTATGTAAGGAATGTGTGTACTTTATGGGAGTCCCTCCCAGTCGACGACTGTTTGGTTACCCAACCTTGAAGGGTGACGGCTCAGGCTAAATACAGGGTGAAAATGTCTGAAGGCGTATGCTATGCAGTATCAGAAACGATGGTCCTTGCAGCCTGGTTCCTTGCCAGTAGATGCGCTTGCGCTCCCGCTGGGTGTACAGGTGGTGGGCATGGCTGCCAGTAATCCTCCTCCTTCTGGCCCCTGTTAGGGTGTCGTTGTTAGTCAAGTGTCTGTTGGGAGCCAGTGGGTGCGTTGGCGCGCCTGAGTGCGGACCCGTCTGTGCCAGCCAGCTACGCCCTCCTCCGCCGCCGGTCTTCTTGACACTGTCTTAACACCGGTCTAGGTGGAGAGTGGGGAAGATAGAGTGCGGTAGATTTTGCGCAGGTCATTATAAACTACTTCACGCGAAAGTCACCTTGCCTGCCGCTCGTTGATGTATAGCACACGGTGGACATCATCGGAATCAACGGTCGAACTTTTGGGTTATCCTCTGTTAGGTGGCATACCATCTTATCTTTGATCAATGCCTCTGATATTTTAGAAATAGCTTGGAGTGTGTTTATTGGCCGGAAGTCATCAAATGACGTATATTGGCCATGCTTAGGAATAAGCAAAATGTGTGATTCCTTTCACAAAGTGGAATAGATTTCACTTTGAAGAGCGAGATTAACTATCTTGTACAAGAAGAATGAGAAAACATAATTTGCGTCTGCTTTTAAAATAATAACTAAGACTTCATCAGTTCCAGGGCTATGAGACTGACGAAAACGGCGAATCGCTTCAGTCACGTCCCACAGGCTGAAAGTTATAGCTATATAGTTTCGAATTCCAATCGCGATCATTGTATAGGTCACTTAGGTCCTACCATAGTCATAAATCTGACTTTGCTTCATCATGATAATTGGAACATTTTGTGTTTACAGCTCTGGTCAGTAGGCCGATAGAAGCGCTAACAATTGTCAAGTATCATAAGGTCGAAACATGTCCTTGTGTTTGGTCCACATTTTCAGCAATTTTTACTAAGAAGGTGTAGCAGTTCGAACTTTCGTCGGGTTGGTCCCGCGCGTATGTATAATGATGACTAATAGGTCTACAACAGATTACCGAGGCGGCCAGAAAAGCGTTACGCCCGAGGCTACTATCTGCAAACCCTCGCCCAAATCGTGACGATATAACGAAACCTACGGACTTCTGGATATATTTGGCAGTTTTCCAAAAGATTGAGTTTGTTAGGAAGTTTCCGAATTTACCTTTTACTGGGCTGGCAATCATACGCACAAATAGAATAGATCTGTGGCATCCTTCCGCATAGCTATTGTGGTTGGACGTCAATGTCTCAGACCGAGCGCGTTGGGGAAGAGGCGTCCGCCGAGGTTCAGCGGTTGCTTCGCGAAAGATA